GAACATGACCACTTCCGGGTCTCCAGTGCGTTCGCTGGGAAAGTACAGACTAAAACTATCTGAAATAGGAGGCGGCAGGGGGAAGGTGGGCAGCAGTACGAGGAGAAGTCGGGCTATGCGCGCGCGCACACACACACACACACACACACACACACACACACTCACATACACATAGTAACAAAGTGACCATGTACTGGCGAGCGCGATCAGGCGACTCCACATCTTACGATCGTAAAGCTCGTGGAACAATGTGTATACCGATATTTTCCCTTTGCAGCGAGACATGACCCAGATACAGTAATGGGAGCTGTTAATGCAACAGTGGCAGGTGAAACATTACGGTTGGGGAAATTTGTGGGGGAAAAAATAGGTTAAGACAATCAATAAAAATGGAGACAGACAAGCTGAATTCAGCATTCTGTCAGATCTCATCACTGGGGGCTACCACAGACGTCTTAGCATACAAGTGACAGTAAAGGACCCTGTTCCACACCTTTAGGCGTATTAGGCATATAGGGCTAGACCTATATTATATAGACCATTCGGCACTTGATGGTTGATATGGTCAACATCTCCAGGGCTGACTTTACTTCCCATGACTGTACGTGGGACCTCTTTAAGGTTGGGTCGACCTGGGAGCCAAGGTTTATTTCGGAAACAGATACGGCTCAGTCAGGACCTGAGCGAAGGACCAACAGTTCCTCAGGCGAAGCGTCTAGCCACTACACCACGGCGGCTTCTTTCCACACAAGGACATTCAGGAACTAGTTCGGCGTTCAGCGGATGGCAGTGACTGACATTCAGGAACTAGCTCGACGTTCAACAGATGCAGTGACTGACATTCAGGAACTAGCTCGACATTCAGCAGATGCAGTGACTGACATTGAGGAACTAGCTCGACATTCAGCAGATGCAGTGACTGACATTGAGGAACTAGCTCGACGTTCAACAGATGCAGTGACTGACATTCAGGAACTAGCTCGACATTCAGCAAATGCAGTGACTGACATTCAGGAACTAGCTCGACGTTCAGCGGATGCAGTGACTGACATTCAGGAACTAGCTCGACGTTCAGCAGATGCAGTGACTGACATTCAGGAACTAGCTCGACATTCAGCAGATGCAGTGACTGACATACAGGAACTAGCTCGGCGTTCAGCAGATGCAGTGACTGACATTCAGGAACTAGCTCGGCGTTCAGCGGATGCAGTGACTGACATTCAGGAACTAGCTCGGCGTTCAGCGGATGCAGTGACTGACATTCAGGAACTAGCTCGACGTTCTGCGGATGCAGTGACTGGCATTCAGTTAAAACACCTGAGTATGAAGAACACACTTGACAGCTTTTGTGGGAGTCCGAGTATGCACATGGCCGATGACCATGTCCTATGTGTGGCCTTTGACCATGTCCTATGTGTGACCGGTGACAAGGTCCTATGTGTGGCCGGTGACCATGTCCTATGTGTGGCCGGTGACTATGTCCTATGTGTGGCCGGTGACTATGTCCTATGTGTGGCCGGTGACTATGTCCTATGTGTGACCGGTGACAAGGTCCTATGTGTGGCCGGTGACCATGTCCTATGTGTGGTCGGTGACTAGGTCCTATGTGTGACCGGTGACCATATCCTATGTGTGGCCGGTAAACAGGTCCTGTGTGTGGCCGGTGATCGTGTCCTATGTGTGTTTTAAGGTACAAAAGTATGTGCAAAAAAACTCAAAGGTTTGGCAATTAAACATATAAGGATTCCTGCTGGAGAAAACCAAAATTACAAGACCAGAAGCTATATAGGACAAACGGAAGGTAGGATTGCGTTGACAACCCTATAGGACAAACGAAAGGTAGGATTGCACTGCCAATCCTATAGGACAAACGGAAGGTAGGATTACACTGCCCGCCCTATAGGACAAACGGAAGGTAGGATTGCAGTGCCAGCCTTATAGGACAAACGGAAGGTAGGATTACACTGCCCGCTCTATAGGACAAACGGAAGGTAGGATTACACTGCCCGCTCTATAGGACAAACGGAAGGTAGGATTACACTGCCCACTCTATAGGACAAACGGAAGGTAGGATTACACTGCCCGCCTTATAGGACAAACGGAAGGTAGGATTGCAGTGCCAGCCTTATAGGACAAACGGAAGGTAGGATTGCAGTGCCCGCCTTATAGGACAAACGGAAGGTAGGATTAGACTGCCCGCCTTATAAGACTAACGGACGGTAGGATTGCAGTGCCAGCCTTATAGGACAAATGGAAGGTAGGATTGCAGTGCCCGCCCTATAGGACAAACGGAAGGTAGGATTGCAGTGCCCGCCCTATAGGACAAACGGAAGGTAGAATTACACTGCCAGCCGTATAGGACAAACGGAAGGTAGGATTATACTGCCAGCCGTATAGGACAAATGGAAGGTAGGATTGCAGTGCCAGCTCTATGGGACAAATGGAAGGTAGGATTGCAGTGCCAGCTCTATGGGACTAATGGAAGGTAGGATTGCAGTGCCAGCTCTGTGGGACAAATGGAAGGTAGGATTGCAGTGCCAGCTCTATGGGACAAAGGGAAGGTAGGATTGTACTGACAACCCTATGGGACATATAACCACAAGACAATATGATGACAATGATGTCTCATTGAGACTGTATTGTATGTAGGCACAATTTGTGTCTCTACATCAGTGACCAGTTCTCTGTCTACAACAACTGTATCTATCATTTATGTTGTTCCGAGCGTGGCTAGATCCAGAACGTGCAGCCCCCACCCCCTCCCCGCACCCACCTCGATCGCTGGCTCGCACAATAGCCAAATATAGCTCTTCCTGTTGCGGCTTGTGGGTACATCTCTCTCTCTCTCTCTCTCTCTCTCTCTGGGTGTGTGTGTGGGCGTGTGTGTGCGTGGTGTGTGTGCGGGTGTGTACAACCATGTGTGGATGTGTTGGAACTTATCTCACAACGTTAGATGTGTCTTGCCTCATTACTGTTCTATTCTTTGCTTTTAGTATCTTCTCGCGTGTGTTGTGTGTGTGTGTAGGTGTGGGTGTGTGTCTACAACCATCTGTGGGTATGTGTGTGTAGAACCATGTGTGGATGTGTGGGTGTGTGTCGAGTGTGTGTGTGGGGTGGGGGTGTGTGTACAACCATGTGTGGGTGGGTGTGTGTGTACAACCATGTGTGGGTGTGTGGGTGTGTGTGTGGGGTGTGTGTGTGTGGGGTAGGGGTGTGTGTACAACCATGTGCGGGTGGGTGTGTGTGAACAACCATGTGTGGATGTGTTGAAACTTATCTCACAACGTTAGATGTGTATTGCCTCATTACTGTTCTATTCTTTGCCTTTAGTATCAGCCCTGTGGCTAAGTCGATGCGAACGCTTCGTAATGCTGGGATGCCGGGTTCGATCCCAGCTGCGGGCCATGCGCCTTGCGTTGCTTTCAACAGTGGTATCAAGAAAGCCGACCGACCAGAAAGCAATGGCACACTACTAACGTAAATTTGCCTAGAAAAACTACACAGCAGCCAGGGATTGTTGGGTTTGGTTCTGCAACGTCCTGCAAAGGATACGCAACTAACCTTTGCCTTTAGTATCTTCTTGCGCCTGTGCATGTGTTGTGTGTGTGTGTGTGTCGGTGTGCCTAAAAGGTTGTGTGTGTTGGGAAAAAAAGGGGAAAAGAGGGGGGGGGGGGTTGCCCTAATGGAAGCCCTTGTGTGAGCCAGTATTTAACCACGGTTACAGGTCACCTGCATGCACGTGCGCTCGTTAACTTCTGCATCGATCAAGTGTTGACACACTGTCTCCGTATATTGTAACAGTATGCCTTCACTCAAACGCACACATAATACCCACATACATCTACAGTCTCTACACACTTCTAATAGTGTTTTGTAACTTGGACTGATAACCTGTACGCGCGCACACACACACAGGAAAGCACGCATACACACACACACACACACACACACAACAGTTCCATGAGTGTATGCTCAGATCTGATGTGTTCAAAAACACATGCGTGGATCTAACAAAGATCTGACAAAGATCTCATTGTTATTATGTACATATACTGTACGCTTCTTGTCTGTCTGTACATATACTGTACGCTTCTTGTCTGTCTGTACATATACTGTACGCTTCTTGTCTGTCTGTACATATACTGTACGCTTCTTGTCTGTACATATACTGGGATCTAACTGACGTCACGCACACATATTTAGATATAGCTCGAAGTATGCCCCTAAAACACTGAGCCTGATAATAGCATGTACACATAGATCTCTGTTTCCCAAACTGTTCAATAATGGTGCTAGATTGACAGGGGATGCCTCGGGTGCATTTAGAGACAATGAATAAAGATAAGAGTTTTAGTCTGACCCCTATTTCCACTAGGCCTATACACAGGGCAGCGGCGGAAACCAAGATGAAGTAGAAGGCGGGAGAATAACACTTTCTTTCCTATCCCCGGACAAAGTCAGGCAATTTTATCTAGTGTGTGTGTGCATGTGTGTGTGCGTTCGCGTGCGCTTAAGTTCGTTTTAAAGGGGTTTTTTAATTAAAAAGTGAAAAATGTGATACTTTTTGATGTGTTCTAATATCTTGTCAAAAAACAATGTGGTACCATTCCCCCACAATATGTCGCCTGCCCTATCCTGTGCCCAGTTTGCTGAAGGCTGTAGCGACAAGTGGAAGCTCGGAGATCCTAAACTGGAGAAATGGGCCGGGAACTTGAACAGGTTTATCGGCAAGTCTGTTGTGCGATTGATAATAGCAGAGCGGCTGCCGTCGTCACAAAAACTGACTCTGCCCACAACTCTTGGCAGCGAGGTAGTCCAAACAATAGAGCCTAGGTATGGAGCCATCCAGGCAAGCCATGGAGGCTGAAACCATATGGAAGTATTTTCACGCTCTGAAACACCCGAACCCCACTTGAGCGATATTAAAAACAAACATATCTACCCTTCGGGCGCTAGTTCTGAGGGACTCAATTCTCAATGCCGTATTTGTTTATATTCACGTTAGAGCCACAGCCTGGGGATACGGAGCCCCGTTTGGCGGTAAGACCGCTTCTATGAGACAATGGTAGAGGAGTTTGAAGTGATACTTCACGGAGGAAGATAATCAGGGTTAAGTTAGGACCAGGGCGAGAACCGGGATCGGTTGGCTAAGTAGTGATGTGAATAAGATATCGGCACTTGGGCCCCAATGTGTGGACAATATGGAGGGGGAGGGGGATTGGTTGGAGGAAGCAGGAGGGACACTTTCTTACATTCACCATGTGTAGTCACATATACTTACTGTTGCTTAGCGTTGCGATCATATTTCCGATATACCTGGTTCGATTCCAGCTGCAGACGATTTAGCAATAGACAGCTCTGCGTTCATCTCTTCTTGACATATGTGAAATGTAGAGCTCTGCAGCCATGCGGGTTTAGTGTACTGAGATGCAATTCTGCTTGGATTTCTCTTGACAAAGATCCAACAAATTATAGAGGCATCTATGGGCAGTGGAGATATTCCATGACCAAACTAGCCAAAACTGTCGAAGCGGCAGAGATCTCCCAGTGTTAAAAATTCGTCTGCCTAGAGAACCATAGCACCTCTTGGATGATCTAATGGCATCCCACAGGACCCCACATCCCTGATCCTGTGTCTGTAGAGGACCACACATCCCTGATCCTGTGTCTGTAGAGAAAATTTACAGCACGAGGGTGTTCGCCACTCTAAGCGCTTGTTGTAGAGAACTTTGTGAGGGACTCTCCCCAACTATGTCATAAGTCTTCAATCTTAGCACTTGTTGTTCAGAACTTTGTGAGGGACTCTCCCCAACTATGTCATCAGTCTTCAATCTTAGCACTTGTTGTTCAGAACTTTGTGAGGGACTCTCCCCAACTATGTCATCAGTCTTCAATCTTAGCACTTGTTGTTCAGAACTTTGTGAGGGACTCTCCCCAACTATGTCATCAGTCTTCAATCTTAGCGCTTGTTGTAGAGAACTTTGTGAGGGACTCTCCCCAACTATGTCATCAGTCTTCAATCTTAGCACTTGTTGTTCAGAACTTTGTGAGGGACTCTCCCCAACTATGTCATCAGTCTTCAATCTTAGCACTTGTTGTTCAGAACTTTGTGAGGGACTCTCCCCAACTATGTCATCAGTCTTCAATCTTAGCGCTTGTTGTAGAGAACTTTGTGAGGGACTCTCCCCAACTATGTCATAAGTCTTCAATCTTAGCACTTGTTGTTCATAACTTTGTGAGGGACTCTCCCCAACTATGTCATCAGTCTTCAATCTTAGCGCTTGTTGTAGAGAACTTTGTGAGGGACTCTCCCCAACTATGTCATAAGTCTTCAATCTTAGCACTTGTTGTAGAGAACTTTGTGAGGGACTCTCCCCAACTATGTCATCAGTCTTCAATCTTAGCGCTTGTTGTAGAGAACTTTGTGAGGGACTCTCCCCAACTATGTCATAAGTCTTCAATCTTAGCGCTTGTTGTAGAGAACTTTGTGAGGGACTCTCCCCAACTATGTCATAAGTCTTCAATCTTAGCACTTGTTGTTCAGAACTTTGTGAGGGTCTCTCCCCAACTATGTCATAAGTCTTCAATCTTAGCACTTGTTGTTCAGAACTTTGTGAGGGACTCTCCCCAACTATGTCATCAGTCTTCAATCTTAGCACTTGTTGTTCAGAACTTTGTGAGGGACTCTCCCCAACTATGTCATCAGTCTTCAATCTTAGCACTTGTTGTTCAGAACTTTGTGAGGGACTCTCCCCAACTATGTCATCAGTCTCAAGTCTGTGCACTTGTTGTAGAGAACTTTGTGAGGGACTCTCCCCAACTATGTCATCAGTCTCAAGTCTGTGCGCTTGTTGTAGAGAACTTTGTGAGGGACTCTCCCCAACTATGTCATCAGTCTCAAGTCTGTGCGCTTGTTGTAGAGAACTTTGTGAGGGACTCTCCCTCAACTATGTCATCAGTCTCCACTCTAGGGTCTTGTTGTAGATGACATCAGTCTCTAGGTCATCAGTCTTTCCACTTCCTGCTGGAGGCAGCACAAGACTGATCTGACCTGACTTGACCTCCGACCCGCCCAAGTATTGACCTGGGCTGGATGACAGGCTGGTCGAGGCAGGTCAACAATTATTGGGACAATTATTTTTCAAGATCGAATTATTTTATAATGACTGCCGAAAGGGGGAGGAGTTTGGGAGGCGGTGGTTGGGAGGCGGTGGTTGAGAAAGCAGTGGTTAGGAAGGACTGGGAAACAGAGGCCAGTGAGATGTTGTGAGAGTGCAGTCTTTGGGACAATCAGCTGGTAGCGGTAAACTGATAACACTTGCCCACCAGGCTATCGTGAGGCTAGGCACATGTTTGAGCGAGCAGTCGGGCTGGGGTGGCAGCCTGGCCAATATTGCGTTGGCCGCTTTTACTTCCTGGAACACTTGCTGGCGTCAGCTGGGTCAAGTTGAGACTGGATCAGGCTGTGACTGGGTCGGGTTGAGACTGGATCAGGCTGTGGCTCGGTAGGGTTAAGACTGAGGGGAGGGTGGGAGGGGGGTGGAGCATGCTACTCCTTACCTTAACCGTTGTAGTTAATTTAATCTAAGCATTGGCGAATCCACGTTGGGGAAAGATGCTTCCGTTAGACATCTGATGATCTATACTAGATGTTAGATAGACTCAAGTCGACAAAAGAACGTAAATTAAACGGGGGAATGTGTATGTATGTTATTACGTTCATAAATACACACATTTTAAAAAAACTCGCACGCTTGCACGCACGCACACACACACACACACACACACACACACATACATCTGTAACTGTGTGTATCATTTCTTGTACTGGGACTCTTCCATACCAATACAACCGGCTCTCAAGAATATTCTCGCGCTGTCTTTTCTGTTTTTCTTTCCACACATCTTTCCACACATCTTTCCACACATCTTTCCACACATCTTTCCATACATCTTTCCATACATCTTTCCACACATCTTTCCATACATCTTTCCATACATCTTTCCATACATCTTCCCACACATCTTTCCATACATCTTTCCATACATCTTTCCACACATCTTTCCACACATCTTTCCACACATCTTTCCATACATCTTTCCATACATCTTTCCAAACATCTTTCCATACATCTTTCCACACATCTTTCCATACATCTTTCCATACATCTTTCCACACATCTTTCCATACATCTTTCCATACATCTTTCCACACATCTTTCCACACATCTTTCCACACATCTTTCCATACATCTTTCCATACATCTTTCCACACATCTTTCCATACATCTTTCCACACATCTTTCCACACATCTTTCCATACATCTTTCCATACATCTTTCCATACATCTTTCCATACATCTTTCCATACATCTTTCCACACATCTTTCCATACATCTTTCCACACATCTTTCCACACATCTTTCCATACATCTTTCCATACATCTTTCCATACATCTTTCCACACATCTTTCCATACATCTTTCCACACATCTTTCCACACATCTTTCCATACATCTTTCCATACATCTTTCCATACATCTTTCCACACATCTTTCCATACATCTTTCCATACATCTTTCCACACATCTTTCCACACATCTTTCCATACATCTTTCCACACATCTTTCCACACATCTTTCCACACATCTTTCCACACATCTTTCCACACATCTTTCCATACATCTTTCCATACATCTTTCCACACATCTTTCCATACATCTTTCCATACATCTTTCCACACATCTTTCCACACATCTTTCCACACATCTTTCCACACATCTTTCCATACATCTTTCCATACATCTTTCCACACATCTTTCCATACATCTTTCCATACATCTTTCCACACATCTTTCCATATATCTTTCCACACATCTTTCCACACATCTTTCCACACATCTTTCCACACATCTTTCCACAGATTTTTCCAGTGGTCACAACATGTTTAATTCTATCTCTCCTCATAAAATGACCAAAAATTCACTACTGTCTCTTTCTGATGTTTGTGATAAGTCGTCTTCGAGCACTCGCCTCTTTCAAAACATCTGGGTTGCTCTTCTTAGCTGTCCAAGGAATTCTAAGTATTCTTCCGTAAAACAGCATCTCTGCGGCCTCAAGATATTCTTCGGCTTTGTTTATTCACTGTCCATAATTCACAGACCTGTGTTGAAACAGGCTCTATATAGCATGCGGGAATTCTTTGACTAGCCTCCAATGACTTGGATTTATTGCATAGAATGATCTTCATTTTAATTTTAAAAAAGCAGTTTAGGGCCTCCCTATTTTGTTCTTTATCTCTGTGATACATCTTCTATCTGATGTTTTTTATGCCCAGGGATGCTTAAAAGTGTCTACTTGTCCTAAAATAACGCATTTGACTTGTACTATACATTTAGGCACAATTCTTGTCTTGGAGCTTACCATTCTTTGTGTCTTCACTGGCAAACTACTGAACGTCAAATTGGCAGCCAAACATGCTGGGGTGAGTGAAGTTGAACCCCAGCAGGACAGCACACTGAGCAACTCACATCCGCTGACGCAAAGTGTCACTATTCGGATAAGAATCTCCTAGGTACATATCCTAGAAACCCGATCAACCGTGAGGTTTTATTGGGGCCACATACGTTTACAAAATAACCGGAAGTGCAGACAACGCAGGGCGGAAACATGACCAACATGCTGGGGCTGGTTCTTTAACGTCCTGAGTGAGTGAGTGACTCAACCCCACAACGTCCTGAGTGAGTGAGTGATTCAACCCCACAACATCCTGAGTGAGTGAGTGATTCAACCCCATAACGTCCTGAGTGAGTGAGTGATTCAACCCCATAAGGTCCTGAGTGAGTGAGTGACTCAACCTCATAACGTCCTGAGTGAGTGAGTGATTCAACTCCATAACGTCCTGAGTGAGTGAGTGATTCAACTCCATAACGTCCTGAGTGAGTGAGTGATTCAACTCCATAACGTCCTGAGTGAGTGAGTGATTCAACTCCATAACGTCCTGAGTGAGTGAGTGACTCAACCTCATAACGTCCTGAGTGAGTGAGTGATTCAACTCCATAACGTCCTGAGTGAGTGAGTGACTCAACCCCATAACGTCCTGAGTGAGTGAGTGATTCAACTCCATAACGTCCTGAGTGAGTGAGTGACTCAACTCCATAACGTCCTGAGTGAGTGAGTGATTCAACCCCATAAGGTCCTGAGTGAGTGAGTGATTCAACTCCATAACGTCCTGAGTGAGTGAGTGATTCAACCCCATAACGTCCTGAGTGAGTGAGTGATTCAACTCCATAACGTCCTGAGTGAGTGAGTGACTCAACCCCATAACGTCCTGAGTGAGTGAGTGACTCAACCCCATAACGTCCTGAGTGAGTGAGTGACTCAACCTCATAACGTCCTGAGTGAGTGAGTGATTCAACCCCATAACGTCCTGAGTGAGTGAGTGATTCAACCCCATAACGTCCTGAGTGAGTGAGTGACTCAACCCCATAACGTCCTAAGTGAGTGAGTGACTCAACCTCATAACGTCCTGAGTGAGTGAGTGAGTGACTCAACCTCATAACGTCCTGAGTGAAGTGAGTGATTCAACCCCATAACGTCCTGATGTGAGTGAGTGACTCAACCCCATAACGTCCTGAGTGAGTGAGTGACTCAACCTCATAACGTCCTGAGTGAGTGAGTGATTCAACCCCATAACGTCCTGAGTGAGTGAGTGATTCAACCCCATAACGTCCTGAGTGAGTGAGTGACTCAACCCCATAACGTCCTAAGTGAGTGAGTGACTCAACCTCATAACGTCCTGAGTGAGTGAGTGAGTGACTCAACCTCATAACGTCCTGAGTGAGTGAGTGATTCAACCCCATAACGTCCTGAGTGAGTGAGTGACTCAACCCCATAACGTCCTGAGTGAGTGAGTGACTCAACCCCACAACAAGGTGCTAGTGACACAAAGTGCCTGCATAAGGGTGAGAATCACTCGAGCACAAGTCCATGAAACCCGTTCAACCGTGAGGTTATATTGGGGACCCTGATGACAACCGGGATGGGCTTTAAAATAACAACAAAAAACTGCGTTCCATGTTGGTACAAGCAATGTCCTAAAAGGGATATGCAACTGTCTTGTTCCTTGACAGTACAAGTGTGTGCCTGTCTGTGGAGGTGGTAGTTAGTCTTATATTCACCTGGATTACCTAGGTTTGTTTCCCCGTATTGCCGCACACACAAAAAGTGACCTGCCCGCTCCAATAAATCTGGCGGCGAACGAGCGACAATCAGCAAGAGCACAAGAGATGAAAGTTTGATGAGACGCTCCATGCTAGAGTTGGCTACAAGGGACATAATGAATCCAGGGGACACAACAGCGGAACGAGAATGGCGACGGAGATAAAGCTCAAACCTGCGATGAAAGATAAAAGTCGCGACCGGTCGACTGCGTCAATAAACTGCAGTTATTGCTGGCCGTGAATTCACGTTAAGTCCTTGCATTTTGCAGGGTGAATACAAATTCATTTTAAGATGTGTTTTTTAAGCGCCATGTTGGGTGTGAGCAAGGAGAGACAATCGCTGTGATGATAGGAGAGTCAGGAATACGCTCAGAGGCGTTGCTAGAAAAAGAGGTGGGGGGGGGCAGACGGCGTTCCTGTGACACCCATGGATTGGGGCGGGGGGGGCTAGACGGAGCCTGTGAGGGTGGAATCGACAGTTTTATTGTTTGTATACTGAGTCTCTTATTTAAATTGTATAACTTGGGAAATTTATGCTGACTATGCTAACTGATAATGTTCTTCTCTAAGTTGTCAGCTTTCAGCTCAAGGTTGATTGCGGTTGTTTGGGAAGATATGTTGAAACCTTTGAATTCATCATATATCTGTCAAGCATGACAAATGCTTGGTTTGTTTCGTTTTGTTCTCCAGGCTTACACATTCCTTCAACTTTCTTCCGTTTGCTTCATCTTCATCTTCTTGTCTCTACTCCTGGGATTGTTTCGCTGCTTCGATCTTCTTGTCTCTCCTCCCTGGATTGTGGTCGCTGCTTCAATCTTCTTAGTCTCATACTTCCTGGATTGTTATCGCTGCTTCATCTTCTTGTCTCTACATCCTGGATTCTTCTTCTTCTTCTCTTCGCGTTCACCCAGCTGTAAACTCTGGCGGGAGAAGGTTCTGGTTGCTCGTCCACTATTGAACTGCAGTCCCTGCTTCAGAACCTGAGTGTTGCGTGTGCGTCAGTTTTACAGATTCTCATTCTCTTGAATACAGACTGTTTGGTTCCCTTGCCTCTCCGGCAGATGCCCTCGACTTCAAAGGAAGCTCCCCAATTAGTCGACTCTTATTTACTACATGCTTTTTGGGGAGTCAGTGGGTCTATTCTTGTTTTCCCCACAATGGGGCCCCCGGAACCCACACGGGGGCCCATTTCTCCCCCCCCCTGAGATTGTTTCGCTGCTTTCAATCTTCTTGTCTCTACTTCCTGTGCTTTGTTTACGTTGGCTTCCTCGTCTTCTGTCCTCTACTCCTGGATTGTTTCGTTTCCTATCATCTTCTTGTCCTTCTACTCCTGGATTGTTTCGTTTGCTTCATCATCTTCTTGTCGCTACTCCTGGATTTTTCCGTTGCTTCATCTTCTTGTCTCTACTCCCTGGATTGCCTCGCTGCTTCATCTTCTTGTCTCTACTCCTGGATGTGGTTTCGTTGCTGGTCATCTTCTTCTTGTCCTCTACTCCCTGGATTGGTTCGTTGCTTCATCTCTTTTCTTACTGGATTGCCCGCTGCCATCTTTTGTTCTACTCCTGGTTGTTTCGTTTGCTTCTCTTCTTTCTCTACTCCATTGTTTTGTTGCTTTTTCTTTTGTCTTACTGGATTGCCTCGCCCCCTTTATCGTTGCAAAAATTGAAATTTTCGTTTTCCGATTTTTTTCCCTGACCCGAATTTCTGGTATTTTTCAAGGTCCTTTTCAGGGTAAATTTGAAATCCGCGTCTTTCCTGAGTGTCCCCGTGCTGGTTTCAAACAATGGTTTTTACGGGACAGTCCACGGTG